CGTAGAACAACCTCTGTTGGCATGTGCTGGAGGCTCTTGTCCCAGGAATGGAGACAGCACAGCCCACCTCTGACCCTGAGGTGGGGATAGGCAAGAGGGCTCTCAAACCACAGGTCTAACATCACAACACTGAGCTTCTGTTCCAGCTGATCTGTTCAGCCAGAGGGGCTGAAATATCTCCATCTGTCACCACACTTCAGAGAGGAGGGGCATCTATGGGGCTCCTGGTGTTCCGTGCCTCTGGCCTGCCTCAACCCACAGCCAGTGGTGGCGGCTCAGCATAAAAGCGTCCGACAAGCTCCTGGCCCTCCCAGGAACTGTCTGCCATACACCCATTCTCCTCGGGGCAGGGAGAACAAGGCCACGGAGTGGTGGTGCCTGTCTGTCACTCCTCCCTGCCCAAACTTCTCCCCCCATTAGTCTCTTCCCCTTCCAATCTGTCACACTGCGGAGCTGATTTATTTTTCTTGTGGCCTTGCTCTCAGTGGGGTTAGAGAACAGCATGTCATCACCCTCTCTAAATATTACTGTTCCGTAGAGATCTGACAAATGTGACTCATCACCCTTCCACTCTCCAGCTAGAGAATCCCCAGGCCTTTCTTTGTTGATAGGACTGTGATAATAATCATAATAATAACAGTAACAACAATAATAGCTGCTCCCAATTAGCACTGCTCTGTGGCAGATACTGTACTAAGCACTCTCCTCGCATTATTTCACGGACTCTTCACAACTCTGTTATGTCGGCGCTCTTCTTATCCTATTATGTAGATGAGAAAACAGGTTCAGAGTGGCTCAATGCCTACAGCTTGCCCGGTCACAGAACCAGGAAATGTTGCGATGATATATATGCAGAGCTGCCCAACCCCGGGCCTAATCACTGTACCATGAGCCCAGCTCCGAAGTGTGTTTGTCCACTGTGATGCCTCCCCTCCACCTTCTACTCAACCCCCAACCCAAGCCAGAATTGAACCCAAAGAGAGACCAGAGCCAGCAATGTGCTTCCATCAAGAGCTACATCCAGCCCAGCTGGGCGTGGCTCAGCGGTTGAACATCGACCTAAGATCCAGGAGATCGGGGTTCGATTCCTGGTCAGGGCACATGCCTGGGTTACGGGCTAGGCAGCTGATCAGTGACTCTCTTATCATTGATGTTTCTATCTCTCTCCCTCTCCCTTCCTCTCTCTGAAATCAATAAAGATATATTTAAAAAAAAAAAAAAAAGAGCTCCATCCAGTGCTGCTAATGGAAGAGGAACCAGGCCCCAGCAAGATATTTGCATAAGATTGCTTGTGGCTGGCCTTTGATGTGCACCAGCCCCCTCTAGCCTGGCAATTGCAGAGTCTGAATTATGTCTGTCCCCATGACAATGATGGCATCTTGGTTTCTCTCTCCTTTCATCTCTTTCCTGATTGCTGTCATCGATCCTGAGCACATCCGAGAACAGAAATCCCCCACTGTGGCTGGGCTCTGCTTCTTGGCATGGGGCTGCTCGAGCCACTCTGATCAAGGCACTATTCTTTTATCAGCTCAAAATCACAGCCTCTCTGGGAGAGGAGGGATGAGGGGGTGTCACCCCCAGCGTGGGCCACTCCTTGGAAGAGGCCTGAGCCAGACCTCTCACCAAACCTGCTTGCTGGAAACTCAAAAGCCAGCAACTGTGGGATGGGAATAAGACGCCACCTGTGGCATGGGAGGACAGAGGTGTGAGCGGGCCAGGGACTAGGCAGAAGCAGAGGTGGCCAGATGTGCTGGACTGTTAGCCAAGCCAGGCTGAGAATCTATATCTTAAATTATGGACTGTTTCTGAGTGGCGAATTTTCTGGGTTTCCTTTGTGTTCCACTTTATATATAAATCTATTTTAAATACATCTTTATTGATTTCAGAGAGGAAGGGAGAGGGAGAGAGATAGAAAACATCAATGATGAGAGAGTCATTGACCAGCTGCCTCCTGCACACCCCTGACTGGGGATTGAGCCCACAACCCGGGCCTGTGCCCTGACTGGGGATTGAACCTTGATCTACTGGATCCTAGGTCGATGCTCAACCGCTGAGCCATGCTCGGCCCAGCTCCACTTTATATTTTAATGAAATGTGTTGAAACCTCCGCTGTGCTAAGAGCAATCAAAGGAAGTGCCTTTTGTCCCTCCTCTGCCTGGAGCAATGCCAGGGCCAGTGAGGTGGAGAAGATAGAACCAAGAGAGAAAATTCCAGAAGGGGGCAGCTCAGGGCTTCGAATGTGCTGGGACCGCTTGGCAGGTCACTGCTTCCCACCTGAACCTTGGGATCTCTGGAATTTGTTCCAAGCAGGGAGGCTGTTTCTTACACGTCATAAGGTGGAGTCCTCCAGACTTTAGGGGCTGCCATTAGAGAGGAAAGGCCCCTGGTGGGTCCTCAGTCACTCACACACCACACACACACACACACACACACACACACACACACACACACACACACGCACGCACATGGCCTGGGGGCTCTCCAAGACTCTTTCCCATACAATCTAATATGAACTCTTTTCTCCTGGGCATATAAAAACATCTGTCCAGTAGTGAGGCTACGTAAAAACTCTGGTATCAAAAAGCTTTGTGGACCCTGGCTGGTGTGGCTCAGTTGGTTGAGCGTTGTTCTATGCACAGAGAGATTGCCGGGTTCGATTCCCAGTCAGGGCACATGCCTGGGTTACGGGCTCAATTCCCAGTAGGGGGCATGCAGGAGGCAGCCCATCTATGTTCTCTCTCTCCGTCTCCCTTCCTCTCTCTCTAAAGTCAATAAAAAAAACATTTAAAAAATAATAAAAGAAAAAATAAAGCTTTCTGGGGGCAATTCTCCCACTTATCCAGCTATGATATCTGAGACAAGTTAATCTCTGTGCCTCAGTTTCTTTACCTATAAAATGGAGATAATAATAGTACCAACCCCTTAAATTTATTGTGGGGACTGAGTGAATATATGCAAGCACTTAAAATAATGCACGGTTACAGAAATCTCTCTACAAGTATTAACTACTGTTAGTGATTATTCCGCCATGGGAGGAGAGAAGCGGGTGTGAGGAAAAAAGGAAACCAGCAATCAGAACTCCCTTCCAAGGCCCGGACCCCACTTTCCTCTCTGAGCTCGGTTAGCTGAGACTGCAGCCCCTCAGGATACCCCCTGGACATGGAGACGGGGCCAAGGCAGCTTTCTTCCTAACAGACCAAGGCTGCTGCTGCCTGCATGGTTGCTGCCTGATAGTGGGGTGCGGTGGGCTTCAGGGGGGTTGAGATATCTACCAAACTGGCGACAAAAGTATTGTCAGGTACATTTTTTTCCCAAAAGCGTTGAGTCTGTTTTGAGAAGTGGGTAGAGGACATGTGGGCAAAAGTGACAGTCTTAGATTCCGGGGCACCCTTGGGAACAAGGTGATTCTGCCTGCTCTGCGTGAAGACACAACACCCTCACTGCTGCTGCAGCCACCAGCCTCACCTTGGACGAATGGATAGTCTGTGTGTGTGATTTACTTTATTCCATTCAATCCCTTTATTGATAATGCAGCCCAAGCCTCCGAGGAGCTCTCTCTATACCAACCTTAAAGGACTCATGGTCCTGGGAAGACCTGCCAGGGAAAAAGTAACTCTCTCAAAGGCAAACAGCAGCTCCTTTTTTGGGCATATGGAGGATTATTTGGCCATGCTGGATGAAGGCCACTGTATCGCTTCATGTCCCTGTGGGGCTCATAAGCAGATTTTGCACTCTATTAATCTGCATCTGTTTGCACATCTCTGCTGTCAGCAGCATCTGTCTAGGGAAGTAGCAACCATGCAGGGAAAGGAGCATGGGCTTTGGGGTGGGCCAACCTGGGTGTACCCAGCTTTACCACTCCTGGCTGACTGACCTTGGACAAGGGTCTTAGCCATTCCGAGCTCAGTCTCTAAACCAGGAATGCTGATGAGGGTCCCCACCTTGCAGGGCTGTCAGGAGGATTAGCAATGAGGTGGGTAGAGCAGGTACAGTGCCTTGTACATGGCTTAGATGCTATGGAAGCTCCTGGATGGTGATGAAGACTGTGATGACTGTGGAGACATCTCTGTCCCAAGTCTGTGCTTTCTCTCTCCCTTGTTAAGCTAGAGTTTCCCTAACAGCTGGTGGTATCACTTTCTCCCTTCTCCTTCCTTCTGTCTCCTCTCCCTGCAGCCTCACCTCCTCCCTCCCTCCAAATAATAGTTGATTTTAACAGACTTAGAGAGGGGTTCCACAAATTCCAAAGCCACCAGGCTGCCCTCTTGGGCTGTGCCCCCTTGAAGGGAAGGGAGTGGGAGTGTCCCTCGTCTCCTTTAGTGCTCTGCCCTCCGCCCTGCCCTTGCCCCCAGCCTCACTCCTACCTCACGTTGTCATGTTTCTGGATGTAAATCTTATGGAACATCATATCCTCCTGCTTGGCGTTGATGTCTGCTTTCATCTCCATGGCAACATGACGGGGAAGGACAGACAGCAGGAGCCGCTCCTGGGGAGGGAAACAGATGCTTTTGTCACAGCTCCTTCCACCTGCCTGGCAGTCAGTCCCCTCTCCACTCCAGGTTGACTCTTCCACACCTGTGCCCCACTTGCAGTAAAACCTCTGGGGCTAACACCTGTGTGTGGGGGGGGAGGGTATGTTTGAGTCATGCCCCCAGGGCTACCTGGGACACCTCCTCGTTCTTGGTGCACATGGGAAAAAGTACTCCCGGTCACCCGGTAGCACTGAGCACCTGGGTTAGAGTCCTGCATGTTGTCTGAGACAGTGTGACCTTGGGCAAATTACTGGACTTCTCTGAGCCCCAGGTTCCTCTGCTGTAAACAGCGATGGGTTGCTGAGAGCATGAGATCCATTCAGTCAGTCATCCAATATTTATCGAGCATCTGCCATGTTCCAGGCAACGTGCCGGGCGCCAGGAGTTCTAACTGTGGACTAGACAGGCAAGTGGCCTCCTTCTCAAAGCTCCCAGCCACATGCAGGTACGAGCACTAGGAGGCACTGGGCAGGAGCACCTCACCCAGGCTGGGGAGTAGCAGGGAGGTAAGAGAAGGCTTCATGGGGACCAGAGAAGTGAGGTGAGGCGGGGCTCCATTTCCATGCAGGGGACAGTGGCCCAGGAGAGAGGGAAAGCACTTTTAGGAACAAGCTAAAACCTGTTGGTGAGGAGCTGGGAGAGAAGCAGGGAGAGGGGCCAGAGCCACACTGTGGACGGGAGAGCCAGCCAGTCTGCGTAGGGTCTGGACCCCGACCTGCTCTGTGTTCTCCCCCAGGCCTGCCTGCCCTGAGAGGTCCGGTGGCTTCCGGAGGGGTGGGCCTCCACCTGCACCCACCTCTGCCCACTACCCCTACCAGGCTCGCTCTTGGGATTCTCTCATCTGGAGCCTTTCGTCCACCAGCCTCCAGCCCTCATTCTCCTGTCCTTCATTCGGCTTCACGGATGCTGGGCCACCCCCTCTCATGGCCCTGAGACTCTTTTCCGGCTCCTGGGTCGTTTCTGGCTCCTCCCCTCTTCCTAGCCCCATAAGAAACTTAGGGACACCTCGGTCCTTCTGCTCACTGCTGCCCTCTGGGGGTGAGGTTTCCACCAGCACCTCTGTGGGCACCTCTCACCCCTATCTCCCAACCAAGGCTCCAGATGTCTGGTCACCTTGATCCCATGCCCTAGATCAGGGATGGGGAAACTTTTTTCTGCCAATGGCCATTAGGATATTTATAACATCATTTGTGAGCCATACGAAATTATCAACTTAAAAATTAGCTGTGGAAAAAGCTCCTAGATTTATTGAATTTCAAGTACTGCAGGTGCCTTGGTAGAGTCAGACCAAGTGATTTTGTGGGCAGTATATGGCCCGTGGGCTGGATGTTCCCCACCCCTGCCCTAGACCATACTCACCTTCTCTGGTATTTGTTCCCCAATGCCTCTTCTTTTCAAGCTACCTGCCTTTGCCCATAGCACTTCCATTCTCCTGATCCCCAAGGTCAAGACCTTGCCCATGTAAACTGCTCTTAATTCTCAGCACTTCTCTTCTGAGACACTTCTTGCCCTGCAGCTGCAGGCCTGTCCAGCACTGATCAAGTCCTGCTGGCTTGGACACAAGCTCCTGCACTTGTTCTTTCTGTTCTGCATCTGCCTCCAGTGTCCACATGCAGTTCTCACCCGACAACAGGATTCTGGCCACACCATCTGGCCAGAGAGCCGCTCCTCAGCACCCCTCCACCTCCCACTCGCCCTGCCTGTTCGGCCCCAGTCTCTCCAGGACACAGCTTTTTTCACGTCACTCCCCTGCTCCAAACCTCCAAAGCTGCCCTGGGTTCCACCAGCCACATCAAATGTGAATTCTTCTGGACCCACTGAGCACAGCCCTATTTTCACTACAACCCAATGCCCTCCCTTCACCTGCCCCCTTCCTGTGCCTGCCTACCCGATACGCTCCCACCCCCCAGACTTGGCTGCGGTTCTTCTTCTGAAGCTCCTCTCTGCCTCAGCAGGTCTAGGCCTCCTCAGGTCGGGCCTGGAGGGCAGGGCGGGGCGGCCTCCCACCGGTGTCTCTGTCTCCAAGCTGGCCACCTTTGATCTATGCTCCACTGTAAGCCAGTGAGCGATCTTTCTGAGACACACACCTTACCACACTGCTGGCCGAGTAAAACCCTCCTATGCTTCCCGAAGACTGCAGGATCAGCCCATGCCCCAGCCTGGCCTCGAGGCTTCCATGATCTGGCTCCTGCCTGCCCCTCCATGCTCACCTTGAGGCACCCCCTGAGCTGAAAGCTGTACTCTGCCCCAGGTAGAGTGAACCATGGGAAGGGTCTCAAGCTTCTGGTGTTTTTTCTTGCCTTTGCACACAAGCCCCCTCAGCTAGAATGACTATCTTCACATACAGGCTCATAGTCTTCCCAGAAGGGGATCCTGGCTCTGGCTGTAAGCAGTCTCTCCCCACCTGGGCCTTCACTTAGAGCCCCTGATCACTCGGCATTTCAATGACCTACTAACGTGTCTCCCTTTAGTGTGAGCAATGAGACACCTCCCGGGGACAGGAGCTGTGTCTTGTTCAGCTCCACAGCCCACAGCCATGTGCTAGGACAATGCCGGGAAACTGGTGAGGGATGCTGCTCTCTGTGGTCAGCCTGGTCTCTCCTCAGGTGTCAGTGAACACGGCCACTGAAAGCCATCTCGTATTTACCGAACTCTCAGTAACAGCTACTGGTGATAGAAATAAAAACTAAAGGACAGTTCTGTGAAAATATAAAGTGGCTGGGAGAAAGTGCTATGAATTGTGTAGATTCATAAGAGACCTTCCTGCATTTATAACTACTTCTGAGGCTGAGCGCCAGAAGGAGTGGGCAGAAGGCAACAGGGGAATCATTCCGAGTCCCCTCATCCTGTAGCACTTAGGGGTGTCACCCTTTCTGTAGGGAGCAGGGCGAGGCCCAAGAGCTGGTGGGCTGGCTGGGTGAGGAATGCCTGTCCCCACAAAGCACACCACATCCCCCTCCTCCGTATCTTGGCTGGAACATGGTATGGCAAACATATTTTCTCCCCCCAACCCCTATGGATTTGCTGGAATGTCCTACTGGGCCAGGACAGGGTAAGTAAACTATGATGAGCTGTAAAATGCTAATTTTACTAAAGAAGGGACAAGGTGAAGAACTGAGAGGCATATTCCTAACACGGGAGGAGAAGGAAGGTATTCTGCTCTAGGTGACAGATGCTGGGGCTTGGAATTGGGATGAGAGAGGGGGATTTTGAGGAATGTAGGGGCTTAGGAGTGAATGGTGTGCAGAGGTGAGGTAAGCTCGTCAAGAAGGCAGTGGGAACTCTCAGGGACACCGCCAGGCCTGGATTTTATTCAAGAGGCAAGACCAGGAGCCCAGACAGGGCCAGGAGAGTGGAAGGAGCAAGCCAGGTCTCCGACTAGACAGCATGAGCCGGAGACCTGGCGAGACACAGCAGGCTGGAAGGGAAGTGGAGACAGGTGGTGACTAGGGGAGGGCCTGGGGAGACACTGTAGAGCTTTCTCCCCTTGCTCAGCTGTCTGGATGTCATCAGCCGTATCACTGCAATTCCCCTAGGAGGCAGTCAGATAGTCAGAGACTCCCTCACATTGCGGTAAAACTGCTGTGCACCCAGGGGCCACAGCGCACACTCCATGCCAGCCAGGAGGGTGCAGGGACTACTGCTGTCAAGGCCTTCTGTCTCCCATCCCCACACTCATAGGCAAACCTTCCACGCTTACACCTGCCTCAGGGCCTGACATGCTGCGTGGCACAGAGCAGGACTCCACTAATGTTTGTTGAGGGTTTGAGGCGACACTGACATGAGAAGAAAGGGAGGACTTGGTCTGGAGTGACCCAATCTCTTGAAGGGAGGACTACTACAAGTCCAGTGGGAGCCCTGTCGGCTGGCCGACCTGCCCCTTCTTTCCCCTGGTGGCACGGCTGCTTCTGGGCCTCCTGTCTGAAAGCTTGCAGTTCTGCACTATCTTTGAGTTTCAAGACCTCTATCCGGTTCCCATACAGAAGAGGACAAGGTAGTCCTGAACCCCAAACAGTACCCTCCCCAGATGCCAAGCAGACAAGAAAGGAACCCTGACATGGCCCTTACACAAGAAGAGCACACTGGGGCGCATCCCCCTGCCCTTGGGCTCACCAAGAGAGGCTCCTCCCTAGCCCCCCCCCCCCC